CAACGACATGGATGGAACTAGAGGGTATTATGCTAAGTGAAATAAGTCAATCAGAGAACGACAAACACCATACGATTTCACTCATATGTGGAATTTAAAAAACAAAAGAGAGGAACATAGGGGAAGGGAAGGAAAAATAAAGGAAGATAAAAAACAGAGAGGGAGACAAACCATAAGAGACTCTTAACTATAGGGAACAAACTGAAGGGTGCTGGAGGGGAGGGGAGTGGAGGGATGGGGTAACTGGGTGATGGGCATGAAGGAGGGCACTTGATGTAATGAGCATGCGTGTTATATGCAACTGATGAATCACTAAATTCTACCCCTGGAACTACTAATACACTATATGTTAACTAAATTGAATTTAAATTCTAAAAGAGGGGGAGCAGGGATCCCCCAGAGACAATGAGACAACATCCCCTTCCCCTCTCGGCCCGCCCCGCCCACGTCTGCTCCTAGCACATCGTTAGGCAGTGTTCTCGTGTGAGAGGACCCTAGGGAAGCTAAAAGTTAAAACTGCTACCCACCCTTGCCGCTTCCTGGCAGGTGAAAAGCACCTCCTAGCATGTCACAAGTGTAGCTGCAGAACACTAGCGGGACTAGGACTAGGACTGCTCTACCCTGTTTTCCCCCCAAGAGCAGAGTAGGCTCTGTGCGCTTTATTTTGTAAGAAAGAGACGTGAGCGACAAGTGTAGGCACCGCCTGCCACAGCCTCCTTCCCTGCCCATGCAGGTGTCCAGGGCACTCTCTTTGCCCCCAAGTGGCCAGTGCTCCACCAGCCTGGCACCGAACGGAACATCTCAACAGCAGAACCGAGTTCTAACAACACAGTTTCTCCTAGTAAACGCTTATAGTCTGAGACCCAACCAAGGCTTCCCTCCCTCCTTCAAAAGTGTCCAGCTTCTTCCTCACAGATCGAACTCTCCCCAGTCCGTGAATTCTCTCCTGGACCATCTACAGAACCTAAGAGGGAACCCAAGGCTCTTTACTAGACACTGGACAGCAGTGTGGCCAGGCCAGGCGAGACCCATTTCCTGAGCTGGTTGTTGTGGCTGCACAAGGCCTCGGAGGACAGGCCTCCCGTAGCAACAGCAGGTGTACAGGTAACAAGGCCAGGGGAGGGGACCCCAAGTGTCTTCTCCACAGGGAGGGAGCGCTATGTACAGGGTGGGGGCGGGGATAGCCAGGTACACCCCCCTGCCATCTCATTTAACCAAAAGATCAAACTCAGCAGCCCCAAACTCAGCATTCATGGACGCAGCCCATTCATCTGGCTCTGATTTCAGGATCTCCGGCATCTTCTTTCGGTTCTCTTTCACGGCTGGTGGGGGAATTCCTGGGAGTTGTATCTGGGGCCCAGGGCTTCCCAGGGACCCTGGGGACTTCGGTTAACTTTGAACACACCACAGGTGAGACTCTGGCCAAGTCTTTGGACCCCAGCAGCCCCTCGAAACCAAAGCAAGACAGACCGGCAGCCTGGGGCGGAGGTGGAGACACAGCCAAGGGTCTCCAGCAGGCTGGAGGACCGCCTGCACAGAGACGGACATTTCCAAGTCTCTGGCGCCCAGGTCTTCTTCCCTGGAGTCGGACTCAACATTCAGGGGGTACAGCACAGGAGTGGTGGTGGGGGTGACGTGGATATTACATGTCTGGAAGAGATCCTCCCTAGCAGGCTCCTTGCTAGGAGGATTGGTTTCCTTCTCCAAGAAAAAAGCAATCCTGGGACTCCTTTGAGGCATGTGGACAGTATGGACCACAATCTTCAATCTGTTTTTTTAAGTTTTATTTATTTATGTAATCTTTACATCCAATGTGGGATTAGAACTCACAGCCCCAAGATCAAGAGCCACACGCTCTTCTGACTGAGCCAGCCAGGCACCCCTTAAAACGATGGGCTTTCTAACTAGAGCCACATGGGGTGTCTTGGCCAGATTTCAGGAAGGGTACTCGATCAGGGCCTGATTTCTGCTGGGACCTCCACAGAGACTGAGTAGGAATGGGGCCCTGGCCCTGGAGCACTGGGCAGCCCCTCTGGACCACATTCACCTCTTAGACACGTAAGCCTTGGTCTCCGTCTTGGCCATCGCTGGGGCTCACACCAACCCAGAGGGCCGATGGAGACCCTACATGACTTATTTTTAGAAAGTAGTCCCCAGTTCTTTTCCCCTTTCTTTTTCTTTTCTTTTTTTTAAAAAATATTTTATTTATTTGACAGAGAGAGACACAGCGAGAGAGGGAACACAAGCAGGGGGTACTGAGAGAGGGAGAAGCAGGCTTCCCGCCGAGCAGGGAGCCCAATGTGGGGCTCGATCCCAGGACCCCAGGATCATGACCTGAGCCGAAGGCAGACGCTTAACGACTGAGCCACCCAGGCGCCCCTAGCCATTTCTTTTTTTAAAGATTTATTTGAGAGAGAGAGAGCAAGCCTGAGCAGGGGGAGGGGCAGAGGGAGAGAATTCTAAGCAGACTCCCTGCTAAGTGTGGAGCCTGCCCCAGGGCCCGATCTCATGACCCTGAGACCACAACCCGAGTCAAAATCAAGAGTCCAACACTTCTTAACTGACTGAGCCACCTAGGCGCCCCTTAGCCATTTCTAAATAACATGCTTATATTGCATTTTCTTGGTTTCTCAAATGTGCTATTATCTACTCATCTCCCACTGTAAGAGAGAGAAGGCAGCTCATTCATACTTGTGATGGTTATACTCTTAGGGTGGTTCCATGACTCTCACCCTCCTGGGATTTGTATCTAGGTAATAAAAACACAAACATGTAACTCAAGTTAGCAACCTAACTCAAAGAGAAGTCTTGCCTTTGCCATTGGCTTCTGGCAGGTAATCACTAGGCCCTTGGAACATGCCAGAAAGTCTAACAAAGTGATTTATGGCAGGGCTTTGGGTCATGACGCCCAGAGTGGTTAGACTCTGAGGTTAGACATGTAGGCAGTCAACCACTGAGCTCCAATAAAAATTCTGGACACAGACTCAGATGAGCTTCCCTGGTTGGCAATATGCCGACGCAAGAGAATAATGCATCCATGACCCCATAGGGAAGGGAGAACAGAAGCTGTTTGGTCTCTGCTCTATGTGCTCTTCCCTTGGCTAATTTTAACCTGCATCTTTACCCTGTAATGAATTGTAACCAGTAACCAGGAGTATAACTGTTTCAGCGAGTTCTGAGTCCTTCCAGCGAATTATCAAACCTAAGAGTGCTTGTGGGAATCTCCTGAAACTGCAATTGGTGTCAGAAGTGAGGCTGCTCTTGTGGGGGTTGTTTTTCCCCTAACTGTGTAGTTGGCTAAACTGGCACAACACTCCTGAGTGAGTTCCCTCCCCTGGAATATGTGTGGGACCTGTGACTTGCTTCCAACCAATTAAATATGGTAAAGGACATGGAGGGTACACGACTATGGGCATGCAATTATGTTAAATAAGACCGTAGCACGGCCTCGTGCTGGAGTCTCTCCCTCCCTTGAGCTCTGAAGTGACCTGCCATGTTGTGTGGGCTGCCAATGCTGGGAGGCTGGCATGGCAAGGCACCCAAGGCAGTTCCTAGCAGCTAAGGACAACCTCTGGCTGCCAGTCAGGAAGAAACTGAAGTCCTCGGTCTTACAAACGTGTGGACCTAAATACTGCCAGCAAAGGTGGGTCGTTCTCAGGCAAGCCTCAGGTGAGACTGCAGCCCCAGCTGACACCTTGATGGTAGCCTCGTGAGACCCTGTGCAGAGCGATGCCCAGGATCTTGACCCAGACACACTGAGAAAATAAATGTGTGTTGTTTGAAACCACTAAGTTTGTGGTAACTTGTTATGCAGCAAGAGCAAACTATAGAATCCAACCCCTGTACCCCACTGTCACCATACAAGCACTCAGCCTGTTCCCTTATCCTCCCCAAATAACTCATCATAATTCTGGTAAGACGAAGAGTCCATGGTCATATTACTTTGACTTCATACATAAATACAGCTGAGCAATATTCTCAAATCAGAACTTTTCTTGCACGCATTCGTTTTTGCTCTGGAATTAAAAAGTTTGGACTTTTTTGTTTTTTGTCTAGTTTTCTATTATTTAGCATTCACTGTCCCCAACACTCTCCTCCAAATGTCTAACTGTTCTTTTAGTATGTTTAAGTAGGTTGTTAAACAAGATGTATAAAGTGCACAAACTATGAAGAAGACTGATAAATTCAACTACATTAAAATTTTAAAACCTGGTTTACTGGGGCGCCTGAGCGGCTCAGTCGTTAAGTGTCTGCCTTCGGCTCAGGTCATGATCCCAGGGTCCTGGGATCGAGCCCCGCATCGGGCTCCCTGCTCAGGGAAGCCTGCTTCTCCCTCTCCCACTCCCCCTGCTTGTGTTCCCTCTTTTGCTGTGTCTCTCTGTGTCAAATAAATAAATAAAATCTTAAAAAAAAAAACACCCTGGTTTACTAAAAGACACCAAAAATGGTAAAGACATGCCACACGTTATTCATTATGTAGGCAAGCAACAAAGCATAAATATCCAAAGTATATGAAGAACTTCTACAAAACAATGAGAAAACAATACAATAGCCAATAATAAAATGTACAAAATACACAAGTAGGAAAAAGTTAACGAACAGCAGCTGCCTCTAAGTTGAATGCTGCCTGAGCAGAGGAGAAAGGGCAATTCCATCCGTTCCTTTAAGTGTTCTATGCATGTATTGCCTTTTCAGAAATACATATAAAAGTGTTATGAGGCATAGTAGGCCCTCAATTATTTTTTGACATGAATGAATGAGGGGCTCTCCGCTGAGCAGAGAGCCAGACAGGGGGCTCGATCCCGGGACCCCAGGATCATGACCTGAGCCGAAGGCAGCCGCTTAACTGACTGAGCCACCCAGGCGCCCCTCAAACATTCCAATTATTATAAAGTCACTCTAAATTCTTGATTCTTTTTAAAAATATAATTTCAAAATTCATGAAAAACTGGAAATCCATTGTTTCTTTCATATTCAATTTGCTGTGATAGAAATTCTTTACTTGTTTTGTCAATTTGGTCCCGAGAGAACAGATTGAATCCAGGAATGAAATAATGCTTGAGTTGTTCAATCCTGAGGCACTCAAGAAAGTACGTCACGCAGTTATCAAAGCAGAGCTCTAGGTTTCTGGTGTGCCACTGACTGTCTTGCGGGTCCTGGGTACAGACATGAAAGAAGGCAGTTTTCACATGGTAGGAGCAGAATTTATCAAGTTCCTTTCGGTGTCCAAACTTCATTTTCAATTGTTCTAAGAGATACTTCATTAGTTTTAAGCAATCTTTCCTATTGAATAAAAAAAGAAAACCACTTATTATTTATTTTTAAAGATTTTATTATTATAAAAAGCCACCCGAGGGCGCCTGGGTGGCTCAG